GATGCTCAAACTAATTACTGCAAACTATGCTTTTTGTTAAGTATATCAAAAGTAGTAATGTAGTACATCTTTAAAAATCAACATGAAACAAAATCAGTAAATCAATTCAACAATTCGAAATTCATGATTAATCGCATGGACATTCAATTACTACCAACTTCTCTTGTGTAGAAAGAACATATCATAAAGCTTGAACCAAAATAAAGTTAAATTCTAGTAGACGTTTTGGCAGGTTTAGTGACCAAAAACCAAAAAAACCACTTCTTGTGTTTATCTCTAAGTAGCTGGTTTACCCAGCCGCCTGGCTCTGCCAAAACACACGATAAAGGTCCCATTCCTATTTCTGTACAGTCTTTCCCTGTGCCCACTTCTACATGCCAATTCCCCATTCCCTGTTTTAGTAATCGGCATGCTCACTTACCCTTTCTCCGATGCCACTATAAGGCAAATGTAGCACTGGGAGCTCAATACACGTCGCTACGAATGTTTATTGCGAGACACTGATTTAGCTTACAACAAAAGAGCCCGTTGACTTGAACCCGCCCGTTTTATTGCAGGATGATTGATGTATAGGTCGGTTCGGCCACAATACGTAGCAAATGGCGGAACGCCCCCACCCTGTGCCAACTCCCAGCCCTGCAGCTCAAACTTTGCAAAAAATCGATAATCTTGATAAAAGTAACGGACAATTTTGAAAACTAATATCGTATTGTAATCAGCGTGCTGATTACTACACTGTGCCGACTCCCAGCCCTGCAGGTCAAACTTTACAAAAAATCGATGAAAATCGATTAAATCGATATCGGTCGATGACGAAGTAGCCCACGACACCCGCCCCTCCCCGAAGTGTATGTGTGCCAAGTTTGGTCCGGATCGGTTCAGAAATGGATTTTTCTCTTCTGATCATACGTTCACACAGAGAGAAAAAACAAATAGACAAACAGACATTTAGCTTATATACATATAAGATTCACCTTATATCGTTGCCATATGCGCTCTAGTAACTTTGGCTCGGTTGCCTCTGGAAAGGAGAAGATTTGTTCTTTCTGTTACGTATCAAACCAGAAGAATTCATCGAAGCTGGATGAAGTAACAAAATTTTAAAAATTTTGGTGCAAGAATTATGCGTCACCTTTACACACTTTGTGTTCGAAAGTCTTTATTGCTATTGACCGCGTGCTCATAGCCTATTTCTATCCGTGTTATCATCGAAATCTCCATTCTCAAAACATATTGAAAGTTTACATGCCTACAGAATGCAGAGCATCAAATAGTGACTCATTTTCATCATGCGAAGCCGGCTATAACATAATATAAGATAACTAGAATGAAAATCTGTATTACAAAAAACTCTCACTGGGGAGTACAGATGATTAGATGATTTTCTTAATGAATGCTAAAGATAGTGTTCGAAATGAGTAGATTGCAACAATCATTACAAATACACAAGACAAGAAAAGAATGAAATATTTGGGAGAGAAGAATGAAGCGATCAACTGCTTAAAACAGCTCAAGGAATGACTAACAACAGCACCAGCAGAAGAAAAATTGAAGCTTGAATCAATCGGTAGAATTTCCACCGTTGTTTCTTGTACGCCAAAGCATCTTCCACATAATGGAGCCGCCTACAGAGTGTGAATTTGGTAGATTTTCCCGGGTACGCTAGTATGCAATTTTCCTTCACTACGGAAGAGTAAAAAACAAAAAAGACTTTGTTAATGTGACCACCCAGAGTGCAAATCGCCATCTGATGGTGATTCCCGCAAGTGATTTGCGCTGTGACCTTGCCATCGAGCGATTAACAAGAAATGTTTGCGTAAGCTGCTGATAAATCGCTCCATTATACCAAGCTCCACCCACCCAAATTGACGGACTTTGCACAAATTAGAATTCGTGCAAATTTCGTCATTTGGTAAAGTGAATGGAGCCTGCTATGAGGAAAGGGAGTTTGGTCCAAAGTTAGCGGATTCACTGTTGAAATGGGCAAAAATTCCCCAGTTTTTTGTTTTCTATGTTAAAATAGTAGAAACTGTGTCATTTAATGGCGCATGTCTCAGGCTTCAATCTATAAAAAAAAGCCGAGTTACAGCCTACGAAAACAAGTCCTCATGATTTTGCTCAAAATGTAAAGACCGCATACCTCGTCGAAGTTCCGCCGTGAGTGCCCTATATTACACGCTGACATCTTTTCACAGCGCTTAATGGATCTTACTGTGTTGGATTTGATAATCAGGTAGATCTGAGCTCTAACTACAAAGCTGCTTTGATATTAAATAGAGCAGCTGAAGAACACGCAATCACCATATATAAAACAGTGGGATCCGTTGGGCGAAGTGGACATAATATTTGCAATCAGAATGTCATACAATCACTCACAGTGGAATTTCGACAAAGTATGCGGTCTTTACATTTCGGCAAAATTTATGAGTACGTGTGCTCTGTGTGTGTGTACGTAGGCTCGTAACTCGGCGATTTTCATAGAATGGAGCCTGAGACATGTACCATTCGATGGCACAGTACCTACTAACTTTAACATATAAAAGTAAGCATGCAAGTTTTCTGACAGATACGCGAGAAGTGCAGGCAAAATTACGTTTCGTGACGCAGTTACAGTTACTCACAATATCTGCAAAAAGAACCTGTATTCTTCAAAGACCACTATTTTCGTAAACAGCGTGTCAGAAAACCTCTAGAAGCGAAGTTTCCTTTCGATCCAAGATCGATATTTGAACAGGAACCCATCGGCAGGCTTCGGAGCGTAAAAGGAAAAGGAATAATAAAAAAAAAGTCCGAACTTCTTGGAAAGCTCGTTCATAGAGGTTACTTGATCTGTTAATTACGAAACTGACATGTCCTTAGCAAGATAGCTTCGTATTCTAGGGTTACGGCGAGTAGAACTTAAGACGACAGGAATTCCCCCACAATTTACCAGCGCTTCTATCTCCTTTGGAAAAAAGTCTGCGAGTAATTTCAGCGCTCCATAATCTATAGAAAAGGTTATATCGACGCGTCCTTGCTGGAGGGACAATGTGCGCTACTTTACACCTTTGCAAAGAGATGTCCGCAGAAAGATTCAGCAATACTGAAATCCGAATGCCAAGGGCATGCTGTATTTGAAAGATCTGCTTTGCCAAACTGAGTACATTGCTTTTTCGGATTTAGAATACACTTATCACGAAGGGAGTTACGACGAGTAGAATTTGAAAACGCTGATTTTTTCAAAGTTGACCAACGATTATGTCTCTTTTGAAAAGAAGTCTGCGGCTACACTTTGATGCGCAATAATCTACAAGAGTACCATCAATTAGTGCTCACTGATATCCTTTACACTGGATAGGCCCTGCTTTACACCTTCGCGGAAGGACCTCCGCAGAAGAATTTGAGAAAAGTGGAAACGGAATGTTGGGTACATGCTGTACTGCTTTCGGATTCAGAATGTGTTCATTCTGAAGGAAGCTATGGCACTGCGTAGTTTGCATGATTTGCGTGGATTTCGCGGAATTCCGGGAATGGCGGGCTTTCGCGAAATTTACCGGCATACTCTAATTTTATCTGAAGCTAACATATAAAGTAAAATTTAGCGCTTTAAGACACATCATGTCTGCGCTTAGATTGATGTCTGCTTTATTCATTAGCTAAGTTTGAACTTTTTTGACTAAGGCTAAAATGGATTCATAAAAAGCACTTCATTCCTATAATGACAGCTGTGAAAATTGTAGAAATTCAATAACATATCACAGAAAAATGTGTAAAATTTTGAGTGAAGCGGGCTCCTTCACAAGGGTACCTTATGAGAGATTCTCAGGAATCCAAAAAAAGTCTGATTGGAGAATATTTTGGCGAATTTGCAATTCTGGGCAGCATTCCAAATTTTTTAATGTGAACGCAACAGAACGAGTTCCATTTCACTGTTGATGAGCTGCTGTGTTCAAAGCTGTGTCAGATTCTAAATTAAATTATCATCAAAAAGGGAAAGTGACTTTTCATGTAGACTTGCACGCATCATTGCGTGACTGATATTAAAGGCATCGCCCGCCCAAAATGGAGGTTGGCGAGATTTTGATTTTGGCATACTGTGTGGCAAACATTCGAGCTGCGCAGCAAAAGACTGCTTCTGGAGCGAGAAATCCGCTCCGGAAGTGGCAAAATAGGCAGGGCGACCATAGTCGCTCTGCCCACTTGCATACTTTATCTGCCTGCGCTGCTGCAGAGGGTTCTCGAAACAGGAGTTTTTGGGGTTCTTCGCGGATTTTCGACTCCAATTCCGAAATTAGGGCCTTTAGAAGACCTGGAATCGACAGAAACATGGAAGTCGAGAATTTGGGTGAACGGTGCCTTTAAGTCAAGAGATTTTAGCATAATTCACAGACCAACTTAATGTAATGGAAACAGTGTTGGAGAGACACTATACCCTAGCAAACAACAAGCTCGCTTCAGAGTTGCTTTCATCCCAATGGACTTCGAAAATTATTTTTCTTTATGCTAATAATTTTGCTTTTCTTTATGCAGTGTTTTTTTTATTAAGATTTCTTTCGACCCCATAAAAATCGGCCCGAAACGGAAGACGTACTTTTTCATTTTATAACCAATTTTTTATAACCTCACGTGTTTTCTGTTTTAATTTTTTTAGAAAATTTATTTCAATGGAGGCTTGAACGAAAAAATTGAGCTGCATAGGTCTTTTGGAGCGAAAGAAACGCTAATCTGTACGGTATCAAATAAAGCCTATAAGCGAATAGATTTATTGCCATTGGTAGATCAAAGTTTTTATACAGTGGAGAAATTAGAAATAAATCTGAAAAATACTGCCATGAAGAGCTGCGGGGCTTTTTCGTGAAGAAAAGGCAGCCCTTTTGTTAAGCTGAAGCCTTTACAGAACAAAAAAAGGAATTTTTATTATGAAAACTTGTTGCTTTAGGAAGAGAGAATAAATAAAAACGCACGAAATTTTTTTTGGGGGGGGGGAGGCAGTTTTGAGTGACATGATACAGATTCTTTAGGTTTTGCCATGGTAAATTTGGCTGGCCTAAAAATCGAGACAAAAAACCAAATGTGCTATTTGTTACTGTCCGCCATCCCATTCAAAGGTTTGTCAGTGGATATGTCGAAAAATGTATGAGGTACGTTTACTAGTTCTTTTAACATGATAGTGCGGTTACGCTTCTGCTTTGCGCAGATACTAACTTGAATCGTTATTAATGTTTTTGCAATTGTATCTTTGGATTTGAAAAGATAAAAACTATAGTGCTCACACAATTACGAAAACGCGAAACCTAATTTGTTAAATCAGTATATTCTACTTATTTCATGTTCAAACAATGTTGTTACAAATTAGTATATTTTATTAGGTTGATGCAAAATCAATGCATGTTATCTTATGTATAAAGCTGAATGTTTGTTTGTATGTATGTCTGTATGTACGTATGTTCCGAATAGAAATTTTTATTTCTGAACCGATCGGGATCAAACTTAGCACACATACACTTCGGGCCCCGGCGGGTGTCATAGGCTACTTTTCGTCATCGGTCGATATCGATTTTATCGATTTTTTGCAAAATCCCCGTGGGGGGTGATCAGCATGCTCGATTACACCCCTCTGCCAAATTCCAGCCCCCTAGCTCAAATTTTGCAAAAAATCGATAAAATCGACATCGATCGATAAGGAAAAGTGAACTGTGACCGGGGCCCGAAGTGTATGTGTGCCAAGTTTGGTCCGGATCGGTTAAGAAATGGAATTTTCTATTCGGAACATATGGCGGAGCCGGGTAAGCCAGCTAGTCTATTCATAAAACGGAAAAGCATGAAAAATTTTACAAAATGGATTTTAAACAACCTTGGAAGGTTTGATACACGTAATGTTAAAAAGAAGAATTTGGAAATTTTCGCCCATAAATCGGATTTTTGCCCAGGAATTTCCTAAAAATTTCCATCTTCTCTAAAACTTTACTCATCGCATAAGCTATGCACATGTAGATTTGCCGTGCTTTTTGACGGCTACAAGCTGAAAAGTATAATTCGTCATGCTCTGACGAATTTAATGCTAACTGTCCCGACATAGATAATCCCATAATATAAGCCTTCCCAAGTATAACAATCAATTTTCAGCCCCATTTGCGCGTTAGTCTTAGAGAAATATCAAATTTAACATGAAAAACCTGTAAGAGGCAACTTTTTTCACTTCTTGGCACCCTTTCATTTCTCAGTTTCCAGTAACGACAAAAACGGCGAGTGTAAATATATAAATTAGCTGGCTTACAAGGCTCCGGCCACCTCTGTCAAAACATTATGATAAAGCTCTTATTCCTATCCCTATACAACCTTTCTCTGTGCCCACGGCCACAATACGTAGCAAATGACCGAAACACTGAGAGCTTACAGCACGTCGCTACGAACGTTTATTGCAAGACACTAACTTAGCTTACAACAGAAGAGCCCCGTTGACTCCCCCCCCCCCCCCCCCCCGAACCCGCCCCCGCTTTACAGCTGGATGATTAATGTATAGGTCGGTTCGGCCACAATACGTAGCAAGTGGCGGAACGCCCCCACCCTGTGCCAACTCTCAGTCCTGCAGCTCAAACTTTGCAAAAAATCGATAATATTGATAAAAGTAACAGACAATTTTGAAAACTAATCGAATTGTAATCAGCGTACTCGATTACCCCACTGTTGCAGGTCAAACTTTACAAAAAATCGATAAAAATCGATTAAATCGATATCGGTCGATGACGGGAAGTAGCCCACGACACCCGCCCTCCCCGAAGTGTATGTGTGCCAAGTTTGGTCCGGATCGATTCAGAAATACAAATTTTTAATCGGAACATACGCACTTACAGACATACATACAAACCAGACATTCAGCTTTTTATATAAGAAGATATCTTGTGTGAATGGTATTTGCTTATTCAAGTTGAGGGTTTGCAGGATCTTTTTTGGGCAAAAAAACTGGGTCGGTAGTAAACCTGTAGAAACGCGCAGCTCAAACTCAGAGTTAACTCTGAGTTAATACGCACCTTTCAGGGACCATTAACACCTGCATAAACAAACCAAATTGGGGAAAGGTTGTTATGGCAGGATATCGCGCAAGACGTACTTTATACCAAATATGGAAACACGGCGTAACTCGTTCCACGCGAGGCGCTACGCTACGAAACGCGCAGCTGAGCCGCGCGTTAACTCTGAGTTTGGTGCTCGTTTCAGGCTCGCGCGAAACTCGGAGTCAACTACGAGTTTAGTTAGAGAAAGAGAAATTGTGTGCAAACGCAGAGGTGCAGCTAAAAAGTCTTCCGGGGAGATTTTGCTCCTAGTTTCATCAAGCATGATGGGGGTATCATGGTGCACCGTTGAGCACAACAAATTGAAAATTTGTAAAATTTCGGTCCCGGGGGTTACCGGACGTGCTGAACACGAATCCGATGCTCATTTTTCGCTGCGGGACCATATATTACGGGATACGGTAGGGATACGGTAGCTGGGCGAAAGTCACGAAATCGGCTGAAACTCGGTACAGTGGGGTTTTCTGGCAAGCTGATCACGAATCCGATGCTCATTCGCCCATATAGCGCGGTTACGGTAGAGATACGGTAATTGGGCGAAAACTACGAATTTTCTCGAAACTTGGTACAGTGGGGGTTACTTCGTATGCTGATCACAAATACGATAGTCGTTTTTCGCTACAGGGCCACAGAGCGGGATTACGGTAGCTACACGGTAGTTAAGCGAAAACCACAAAATTGTCTGAAACGTGGTACAGTACAATTATTGTGGCACGTGATTACGAATGTGTTATTCACTTGTGATTGCGGGTCGTCCATTTAGCGAGGTTCCGGTAGCTACACGATAGCTGGGCGAAGATCACAAAATTCGCTGAAACTTGGTGTGGTAGGGTTATTTGCATGCTGATTATGAATATGCTAATCATTTTTTCTAAGCAGCTGTGTGCGCTGTGAAATTAAAGCCATAAGTCAAACCTCTATATTTTCCAAAAACACATGCACCTTAAGTGGTCTTATAGAACGTCCCTTGATGCCACAAATGTATTTGTCTACTTAAACTCCAATATCATTTTCGCATGACCTTTTCAAGATACAACTATGTACCAGCATTGAGGAACTAATATATACTCCCAACCACCTTCTTCAGAAATGTAAATGTAGCAGATTTCCGCAAAAGACTTTCCACCGAAACCAAACCATGAACTATGCTTTTTGCCAGTTTGTGACATAGTTGTAACGAACGCAAGTTTTTAACGAATGAACAATTATCGAATAATATCTTTGAAAATTTATCCAGTTCATTAAATTCATTTAGCAAATAAATGAATTTCAAAATTTCAAAATGAACGAATATTACTCGATTTCCGGTTTTTATATTACTCGAATTTGAATAATCGAATATGAACACATTCCAAAATTCGAACTTTCGATTATTCGATCAACAAACTTGATCGAATGACTATTTGAGAATTGGGGTGCTTCTCAAATTTGAATAAACGAACAACTGAATATTATTGAATATCGAATGCAATAATTATTTGAATACTCGCATGCAATATTCGAATATTCAATCGCAATAGTCGATTTGATCGAACAAGGATTTCCGAAACTTCTCTATTTGTATAGTTGAATAACTGTTTTTTCAAATTCCTCGCATATTCGAATATTCGAATGATTTATTCTTCCGATTTGTCGAATGAACGAAATATTCGAATGAAAAACACTCGTCAGCCAGCCAGTGGCGGTCCCAAGATTTCTGTGGGGGGGGCTAAAAAAATTTTTTGAATGAAGGCGCGTGGCGTCAGCCACGCACTCCGAAAAAATTTTTGGGGTGCTTCTCAAATTTTTTGTTTCTCAAAATGAAGAAAAAGGGGGCGTGGCGCAAGCCACGCTTCCGAAGAAAATTTTTACAGTGGTAATTCGAAATTTTAAAAATTTTGATTTTAATTATTTACATAAAGAAACAAGTTACTTTCATATTTTTATAACCGGTAAGTAAATTTCAAAAATTTCGCGACCCATTCTCGGGGGGAGGGCGCCCCCTTGATCCGCCACTGCAGCCAGCCGATAGTATTATCAAAATGATAGAAGCATGTTGATAATTTCACAGTGTGTTTTTATCACACATGTTTTTTACATTTTACATATGTTCGAGTTCGAGAGCTTTTAGTTGAATCTTGATGCTCAAATTATGCCAATAAAGAAGTCACTTTCGCTAAATCCTATTTAGGAATAATAAAGGATAAAGGATAAAGGATTCGGCGTCTTCAATACCCTCTGGGGGCATGCGCCGAACGCACACACTAACTTCATAGTCGAAGAGGCAATTGTATGCGTGCGAGCCTATTACAGTGACTTGCGGGGGCCAGCCGTTTCCAAGTCAGTGCTTTTATCCTCCCAGATTACTCTAGTACCAATTTACTGGCCCCGGAGGGTAGAGGGCTTGGTTGGCCCAGGGGAGGGGATCGAACCTGTGTCCGATCTGGTCATAGCGCCTCATATCACTACGCCACTCGTCCCCTATTTAGGAACGCAGCTGGGGATAATCAATTCTACTTAGAGTGATATTTCTTGAATAGAAGATGATATCGTAATCTAGTGGTCTAGTGGTAGGCACTTCGCGCCGAGCAACGGGAGTTCGAGTCCCGACCTAGTCGGGAGTTGAACTCCCGTTAAATTTGCGATGAAGCGTATGGTAGCCAGGGTCAAGCGTGGGGTGTAGCACGCCACACCTGGGGGAGAGGGGGGGGGGGGAGTCAGGAACAGGGTAAGGGTCGTTATCGAGGTGATAGTGATGTAGCGACAATATCGTCCCTTCCACGTTTGCTGCTACCCTTCTGGCGTCGCGGACGTGCCACGTGTGACTAACACTTGGCAACATGCAGCAACATGTTGGCGTGGCCAAAATGTTCTGCCAACATGTTGTGCCATGTTGCAAACTTGTTGTTGCTACGTTGCCAACATGTTAGCCACACTTGGCAGGTCTGAGACGCAAATCAAGGGTAGCAGCAATTGTGGAGGGGACGACATGTCATTCAACAATGTCTGATAGGCCTACTGTACAAAATACCAGCACTGATGTTTTGGCCTAACGTCGTACACAAGCATATTGATAGAATCCTGGAAGC